CCCCCGCCTCTCCATCCCTAAGCTGGGGCATAAAACCCCCGGCAGGCTGCAGGCACACTGCAGAGCCGGCGCTGCACTGGGAAGGGGCTTTGGCAGGGTCCCACCGCCACCATGCCAGGGAACGGAGCCATGGACACCTCCTGCCCTCCCACCACACCCATGGCAGGTAAAACCCACCCGGGACAACACTCCCTGCACCCACCCTGTGGCATTTTGGGGTGTGAGATAAATGGCGGGGAAAAAAACTACGCTCTGGTGGGGGACAGGACACCCCGATCCTGCCACTATCTCCATGGAGGGAGGGTGTGATGAGGTGACCCTGCTTCCCTGACCAACACCCCTTCAACCCTCCGCAGCCTTCCTGCGAGGCCCGGGTGAGGGGTCTCCGTGCACCCCCAGACTCGAATGGGCTGGTGAGGGGCCGGGGGCCAGCGGTAAGAACCGGCACGTGTGCCACGCCGCGGCACGGCTGGAGATGGGCAGCCTCTGGGAGGAGTTCAACCGCCTGGGCACTGAGATGATCGTCACCAAGGCAGGCAGGTGGGAACTGGAGCAGCCTGGAGGGCTGCAAAGGTGGGAGGGCACCCCCTTCCCACCCACCTCTCTGTGCAGGAGGATGTTCCCCACCTTTCAGGTGAAGCTCTCGGGGTTGGATCCGTTGGCCGACTACGTGCTGCTCATGGATTTCATCCCGCTGGACGACAAGAGATACAGGTGGGAATGGGGCATCAGGGGCAGGGAACCAGACCTGGGGTATGCTGAGCTCCCTCCCTGCCCTGCAGATACGCCTTCCACAGCTCATCCTGGCTGGCGGCGGGCCGGGCTGAGCCGGCGGCTCCTGGCCGTGTCCACTTCCACCCTGACTCCCCGGCCAAGGGTGCCCAGTGGATGCGGCAGATCGTGTCCTTCGACAAGCTCAAGCTGACCAACAACCTCCTGGACGACAACGGCCACGTGAGGACCCCGCTGCGGGGTGGGTGATGGGGGGGAATGCAATGCACCCCTGCCCGGGGAGATCCTGCCACCTCCTCTTTCCCACCCCTAGATCATCCTCAACTCCATGCACCGCTACCAGCCCCGCTTCCACGTCGTCTTCGTGGACCCGCGGCGCGACAGCGAGCGCTTCGCCCACCAGAACTTCAAGTCCTTCAGCTTCCCCGAGACCCAGTTCATGGCAGTGACAGCCTACCAGAACCACCGGGTGAGCACCAGCCAGAAGGAAATTGGGGCACCCTCCCAGGAGCTCCCTGACCCTGCTCCCCTCCGCAGATCACCCAGCTGAAGATCGCCAGCAACCCCTTTGCCAAGGGATTTCGGGATGGCGACCCCGAGCCATGGTAAGGCACCCCTGGACATCATCCCACAGCATGGTGAGGATGTTGAGGCACCCCCCTGAGCCCCCACCCCATGTCTCTTGCAGGTGTGGGGTGCCGGCAGGGTCCCTGCTGGGTGCGATGCCCCGTGCCCGGGCTGCCCCGCTGCCCCCCCGTCCCGAGAAGCAGGAGAAAGGTAGGGGGGCTGGCGGGGGTGCTGAGCCCCTGCTGCTGCCTCTCCCCCCTGCAGGGGCTCCACGCAGCCATGGGGCTGCTCTGGCTGCCGTCCCCCAACAACCAGCAGCACCCCCCAGTTTCTCCGAGCTCCCTGCACCCACCTTCCAGCCCCTCACCTGCCCCCCTGGTGTCTATGTGGGAGCCAAACCCCGCACCCTGCCCTACCCCCTGCCCACCTTCCCTCCACTCAGCACCTACGGCCCCACTGCAGCCCCCACCTTTGGTTACAGCCAGCAGTGACAGGGGGCACCCCCAAGCCCCCCCTGCACCTCCTACCAAAGCAATGGCAACAAAGAGCTGGGGGGAGACACAGGGATGGCTTTATTCACCGCCAAGGAGGCTCCAGGGGTCCAGTGGGGGGGAATGTGGGGTGCAGCTGATGTTCCAAGCCCCTGGAATCCCCGTGGCATGGCTATTCCCAGGTGTCTGGGGCGAAAGCGAAGGGGCACAGCTTGTACCCAGCACCCACGTAGAACTTATTCTGGAACTCCACCCTGGCGAGGAGAGAGGGTTGAGGAGCGCTCTGGGGGGTCCATCACCCCCCAGACCCAACCAGCACCCTGTCAGCTTTGGGGGCTCACCAGTGCAGGCGCAGGGCATGGAGGAAAGCAGAGAGCCCCTCCATCACCAGCAGGATAGCCACGGTCAGCACGGCAAAGGCGGCAAAGACGGGCACCAGCACCACACCACCCACGTAGCTCAGCCCCACAAAGCCGTTCCGCATCACCATGGTCCACAGGACCTCCGAGAGCTCTGGGAACAGCAGGGACCAGAGCAGGAGGAGAGTGAGGGTCTTCCTGGCTCTGAGTGGGACAAGGAGGGACCAAGGGGACTCACGGGCGTGTGCCAGGCTGAGCGCCCAGAGCCGCAGGTAGGACGCCGTGTTGGAGACACAGCCCAGGCAGTACTCGATGGTGTGGATCGCCTGGTGCATGAAGATTTCGGCAAAGTCCAAATGCTGCAGGGAGAGAGGGGACAAGGGACATCAGTGGGGGCACAGACACCCTCATCCCACCACCAAAGCCTGCCTGGATGCTCCTCACCTTGGCGTCAGGGCTGTGCCCCCCGCTCTCCACGTCCTCCTTGGTGGCGTTGACGGAGTTCCCAGCCTCCTGCCCCTCCAGCAGCGGCTCCTGTTCCCCCATGGCCAGCGACTGCACCAGGACAGCACCAGCGGTGAGACCTCCCTGTGATCCCCACAGACCCCCCCATGGCCCTTGGCCTTACCATCCTCGGGGCGCGCCGCCGGCACCACTGGTACAGCGGCGTCCCCAGGAGCAGGACGGGCACTGACGCCAGCGCCAGCAGCACCAGCACCGTCTGCACTGGCACCTGTGGCACAAGGACAGCATTTTGGGGTCTACTCCCTCTGAGAACAGCCCCACTCCTGACACCATTCTCCCAGCCGGGGTGGGGAGCAGGTGCCCGCCGGGGCGGTGGGGTGGTACCTGCCCCGGGTAGAGTGGGAGGTTCTCAGCATTGGAGGTGAATAGGAACATGTCAATGAAGTGGATGAGGATGCTGGGGGCCACCAGGGAGTCAGCAGCACTGAACTTGATCCACTTGTAGAAGATGAGGAAGACCAGGTAGCCAAAAAGAGCCAGGAGGAAAATAATTTCTGGGAGGAACTCCAGGACCAGGCGGTGATGCTGTTTGAAGTGCCTGGGTGGGAGGGCATCAGCCATGCTCAGCCTGTCCCTCCTCACCCTCGCACCTCCTCAGCACCCACCGAGGCGCAGGGGTACAAGACCCCAGTTGCCACCCCATCCTATCCAGGTGAGTCCAATTCCGGTCGCTTTGGCATGACCAGAGCCCGTGGGTGCAGCCCAAGGACTCACACGTGGTTGAAGACCCCCAGCACAACACCGAAGCCCATGTGCACGATGCCCAGCACCACTGACATCTTCATCTTGAAGGAGTTGAGAAAGTTGAGGTGGTTGGTGGCCAAGCTCCAGATCTGTCACAAGCGAGGTGGGTGAGACTCTGCACCACTGCAAAGAGGGTCCCACCTCGTTGTCATTCCCATGGGACACTCACTGGGTCGATCCCAAATGGATACGGCCCTCGGAAGACACCGGTAACATTGGGGTCCAGGGTGAGCGAAGGGTGGGCGGCAAGATACTCAGAGCTGGGGACAGAGCAAGGGATGTCAGTGCGAGCGGGGAGATGGGGACCCAGGCAGGGGGCACAGGGCTGGGACCCCACCTCCAGGAGGAGTGGTTGGCCATGGTGGCCACGCTCCAGGCAGAAGGGAAGATGGCAGTGGCTTTGCTGAAGCACTCGTTGTAGATGAAGCCAGTGTAGATGGAGAAGGCGCCCATGAGCAAGATGAGGTAGCGCCCCTCGAAGAATGTCAGCCAGATCTAGGTGGGAAAACACGGCTCCCATGTCCCACACCCCCTCCCCTGCCCCACACCACCATTCCCTTCCCACAGCACCACCCTGACCCATAATGTCCCTGTCCCCAGCCACCAGCCCCATGCTGTATCATCCAACCCCATCCCACGTCCCCAGCCATGTCCCAGACCTCCAACCTCACTTCACTCCCCCAACCCCATCCCATATCTCCAGCTACATCCCATCCCTCCATTCTGCCCCCACCTCGTTGGTGCCCTGCCGCAGGCGGGGGCTGTCCTCATACAGCACCATCCAGAGTGCGAAGAGGAACATGAGCAGCCCGTGCCCCACGTCCCCAAACATGATGGCGAAGATGAAGGGGAAGGTGATGATGGCGTAGGGTGCTGTGGGACACAGAGACTGCGTTACACAAGGTGTCCCCTCTCCGCTCTGGCCTCAGGGGGTGCCAGGGGGCCTTACCGGGGTTCACCTCCTGGTAACTGGCCACCCCATAGGCGTCCACAATGCTCTGGAAGCCGGCAGTGAACTTGTTGGTGCGGATGAGGGTGGGGGGGCTCTCCGAAGTGGGGACGCGCTGCACAAAGCACTCCACGCTGGAGCCGCTCTGGTACTGCAGGAACAGCACCCAGAACCTGATCCTGGCACCCCTGGCACCCCCCTGCCCTGCACACGGAGCCTGCCCCAGCACCCACCCCACAACACCCCCCTTCCCGGCACCAGCCCCCAGCACCCCTTGCCCAGCACCTGGAGCCTATTCCTGGCACCCACCCCACAATCCCCCCCAGCCTGGCACATACCCCACCATGATGAGGGGACATAGGGACACCAAGAGACCTCTGGCATGAGGACATGAGGATACTGAGCAACCCCACAAAAAGGACATGGAAACACAGAACAACCCCTGGCACAAGGATGTGGAGACACCGAGAAACCCTTGACATGAAGACGTGAGACACCAAGAAACCCAGGCACAAGGACATGGGAACAACAATCCCTGGTGCAAGGACACAGGGACACCGACCATGCCCAGGATGAGGATGCCGAGCCACTCACAGATGCCTGGCGCAGGGCATCCTGCACTTGGGTGAGGTCCTGCACCGGGCACCAAACCTCTGCAATGAGGCACTTCTGGGTGACATCGAAGCTGCACTGGTTGAGGACGAGGTAGATGGCCTTCATCTTCTGCACCTGCACGCGCCAGGTGGGCAGCGCCTGCGCCACCTTGTCCAGCACCTCCGCCAGGTACTTCTCCGTTTCCTCCAGCGTCTGCGGGCACCTGTGTCAGGGATGGCAATCCAAGCATGGCCCCCACATCCCCTCATGGCACCCAGCTCACCACGCTGAGCTCCTGGATCTGGCCATGCAGCCCGGTAATGGTGTCTGTCCTGCTGGCCTCGCTCTCTGGGTACAGATACACCTGGCAGTGGAAGCTGGGGCAGAGGAACATCGCTGTGTCAGGGGGTGTCAGGGCTCCCCAGCCCGGCCCCGCAGCAGGGTCCAGAGTGGGTGTTTCTAAATAAACCACCCTTGGGCGATGCATGGCCACTCACCAGTCCGAGATCTTGCGGATCTTCTGCCCGATCTGCTCACCCCAGTAGGAGATGAGGAAGATGACCCAGGTGATGCTCTCGCCCTGGGGACAGTCTGTGTCACTCTGGTGTCCCAGCCCTCACATTCGTGCAAGCCCCCCCACCAGGCGTTGCCTCACCGTGGCCGGGTCCTCCATGGGCTCAGGCATCTCCACGAAGGAGGCCACCAGGTACCCGCGGCAGGCGCGCCACAGCAGCCGCTCGAAGGCGGTCACTCGCCACGGGTGGATGACGCCGGCCACGAAGCTGCAGAGGCACGACAGGAGTGTTGGGATAGGCAAACCGCTCCACGGCTGCACCACTGCCCCACAGGTCACCTCCCGAGCCTTATCCCACAGCTTCCCAGCTGCCCCACGGCCACACCGCTGCCCCAGAG